TGACATATTGAAACGACATTTAAGACAAATGTTTCCAGATATGGATCTGAACAAATTACAAAAAGCTCACACTAAAACGATTGGTGCTTATCAAGACTGGTTAGAAACTCATAGCAAGAGCTCGCATTACTTGTTTCAACTCAGAAAGTGTGAAAACATGAACTGTTGTTTGCCAGTAACAGACCATTTGCCTGCTTGGTTACCAGACCCTGAACTTGATGAAACTGGCAGTCATTGCAAGCCCTACAATGAGATGAAAGGGAAGGAAACAACTCTCAAGCAAGCAAAGGAAAAGGTCAAAAAGAAGGTAGCTGCAGTCAGGGAAATACCAGAGGAATCATCAGAAAATGATGCAGAAGTACAACATGTCATGGAACCACAAAATGACCATGAAGACAACTATATTGAAATGCCCATTTCTTCTCCAAGTTTATGCACAGTCCAAAATGCAAGATCACTTATAGAATGTGTAGAGTGTCGAAAACCCAGGATTATATACTCAAAATTACGACTCACTGAGCGCCAACAGTGTTCTCTTGCGTGTGGAATAAGTGACTATCACTATACCTGTGGATCCCCACTACTGCCACCAGCCAACCCACTTTTTAAGACTGTCATGTGCAGAACAACACTAGCATGTGATGTTCCAATTGAGCTAGCTTATTATAAAAGTGGTCTAGGAAAGCCAGAAATATGCTGTTACTGTTGCGCAGAGGGAGGAATTCACCAGGACCTCTTTCGTAAATTCAAAACTGTACTGCCTATATGTTACCAATGTGTCAAAGATGGGAAAAATGTAATCACCCAAAGACCCTTTGAAAAAAAAAAGAATGTCATGCATGTTCTCACTTTATTGTTCTTGATTTAGTTCCTGTTCACTAAAATATTTCACTTAGATTACAAATGTACATGTATTCAGATTCATCTGACATCTTTGTTGTTTTTTTTTTTAGATTTCAAATAGTAAACAACGATAAAATTAACCTGCTCAGAAATCAAATACAGTGTAATCTGACAAAGTTCATGGTTTCTGTAACACATATGGTCCTTGGCTGAGTTTTTAAAGGAATGCTTGTTTGGTTATCTATTTGACAAATCCTTCATGTTCGATAACTGAAAAAAATATTGAGAAAACTAATAAGAGCTTTATACACAGTGTACTGTATATTATAAAATACCACTTGAGTTGTTGTGCATCAAGATACGAAATTTAAGTGTTAAAAATTATATAGAGTGACTTGTGATATGTTTAATTTGATCAGGTATTCAGTTCATATCCAAAAAATGCCGTCGGAAAAAATAAAATAAAATAAAAAAAAATAAAATAATTTTCCTACCTACCTACCCTATTTTTTTTAGGCTGGTAGCAGGAAACAAGACTATTATTTTTTTTTGGCCTTGTTAGTGAGAAAGTCATCACGAAAGTAGAAAAACCAACCGCATGGGTTAATCCAATCGTCATTGTAGAAAAACACAATGGAAAAGTAAGAATCTGTTTGGACCAAAGGGACATGAATCGCGGAATTCAACGGGAACACTATCCGCTGAAAACACTTGAGGAGGTAGCCGCAACGCTAAAAGATGCAAAAGTTTTCAGTACTCTTGACGCTGCCTCAGGATTTTACCAAATCAAGTTGTCAGAGAGGAGCACTTAGTTGACAACATTTAATACTCCTTACGGGCGATACAAGTTTGAACGTCTACCCTTTCATAGGCGTAGTCACAGGGGGGCAGCGGGAGCACTAGCCCACCCCCCCCCCACTTTCAGATGGGGGGGGGGGGGCAAGAGTATGTCTGTGCCCCCCCACTTTTTAATGAAGAACAAAATCACAGCTATTTTCCCCCAACATTACCTTTACTATAGGAAAGTATAGTTAAATCGAAGAATTTGGGGAAAAAATGGAATTGAAAGTAACTTGCCTTTGAAAAAGTTGGCCACTACCCACTTCACACTTCACATAGCCGATACACTTAGTCGCGCAGCATTAAGAGGTGATGAATCAGAAGATGACTTTGAGGTTCATATACTCGAGAACAAACCGATAACATGTGAAAATGTGGAACGATTCCAGGCTGAAACCGCAAAGGACGAAATACTTGGGAAACTGATGAAAACCGTGATCAATGGTTGGCCAGAATCCAAACAGAAAATTGATCCGGAGTTAAATCTGTATTGGAACTTCAGAGATGAGATCGACATATCTGACGGACTTGTGTTAAAGGGAGATAGAATCATTACTCCATCATCTATGCGTGATGAAATACTGAAAAGAATTCATCTAAACCTCATGGGAATTTAAAAAAGCTTAAGCAGAGCACGAGAATTACTGTACTGGCCTGGGATGAGTCAACAAATTAAAGACTTTGTAGAACAGTGTGAAGTTTGCTATAAACACAGAAATAAACAGCAGAAACAACCACTTTTACAACATGAAGTGCCTAATCGACCATGACAAAAAGTGGCCACTGATCTCTTTTTCTTGAATGGAGACTCTTACCTAGTACTAGTGGACTACTTCTTTAAGTTCTTCGAACTGTCAATGTTACAGGATACCATAAGTCTGACGGTTATCAAATGTCAGTCTCCGTCAAAACTTTGCTAGATATGGAATTCCAGAAACACTCGTTAGCGACAATGGACCAGAGTATTTAAGCTGCGAATTTCAAGCTTTTGCTAGAGACTTCGGTTTCAAGCACATCACATCATCTCCAAGGTACCCCCAGAGCAATGGACTTGCAGAGAGGACCGTACAGACAGCCAAAAAACGTTTGAAAAAGGCCATTGAAGACCATCAAGATCCGTATTTATCTCTTTTAGAGCTTTGCAATACACCACTTCCTGGTGTGGGACTTTCACCTGTGCAACTTCTAATGGGCCGCAGAACCAGATCTTTCATTCCAGCCAAATCGTCGCTCTACACACCTAACAACTTCCCTGGGAAATCCGTTAGGAAAAATCTACAATCTAAACAGCAGAAGCAAAAACACTACTATGACAGAAATGCCAAAGAAAGAACACCATTAGCGAAAGGAGACGTTATTAGAATTCGTTCACATCAATCATCAACAACTTCATGGAATCCAGGACAAGTCGTCAAACAATGCGAGGAACCAAGGTCCTACATAGTAAAATCAGGAAACCGGATGTTCAGGAGAAATCACAAGGATTTATTGAAAACCAAGGAAAGGTGTGTTCCAGAAAATTCTAGGGAGGAAGAAGACGAAGTAGTGATCATTCCACCAATGCAGGCAGATTCAACGCATACAGATTAGAGGAGTGGTATCGATACTTAAGAGTCGTGTCAGCCAGTAAAGGCAGTGAAAAGTGAAAGTGTCAAAATATGTGAAAATAATGAAAATGTGAAAATGTCAAATCCTAAATTCCGATTCACAAGGTCCGGAAGAGCGTCAGTGTTACCGGCAAGATACCAAACTTAAAACCTGTAATAATTTCAGTGTTGTGTTAGTGTACATGTATGGATGTTTCCAAACTCTTTTTATGTGTAAAGTTAACTCTTAAAGTTAATTCATGTGTCCATTGATGCGTTTAAATGCGGCAGATTTGTTTTATATTATTATTTATTATTATTTTATTGTTAATATGTTAGGAGTAATTCTAATATACAGAATTCTAAATTTGGTCATTTTAAATTAACAGTACATTTATTTAGCATTTATTTAGCAGTAGATTCTCCGATTTGTAAAAACTGTTATTTCACAAATATCTCAAAAAGGGAGATTTAACAAGATTTACAGAGTTATGCCGCTTTTCTTGTGAACTGTATTGTCTTTGTATGTGTGACGTCATGTGTGTGTATTATAGATGGCTACTGAGCACATGTGTTGTTGAGAATCTTACACTAATCCTTATTTTTACGTCACGGGATTGAATACACTGTGGGATGTTGAGACTGTTTTCAGATGAGATCGTATAAATCGAGGTCCCCTGGCCTGTTGTTCGGCACGAAAAAGATCCCTCACTGCTCAATGGCTCTGAGTACAGAGTATTGGTATAGCTATCTGATTTACACACAGTTTTTATTAGGTGTAAGGGAGTTCATGTATTAGCTATGTTTCATGTTGCCTTTCTATGCATTCTATCTGAATATTACTTTAATTATTGTTTTACATATGGACCCTGAATCGTCCTTCTACTACACATGCACCCTTACGATGGCTACATGGCTAGCAAGTAATACAACACTGTTAAATCTATTGCAGTTTTCATGATGTATTTTGCACGAACGGCAACACATTATCTTTAATGTAAGGCTACCTGAGAGGCTTAATTTTAGTACAAGTTTCCCACATGCTTTCTACTCTGATACGCACGCTCTCTCCTCAACCTTGTTTTTTTTTCCAATTAGAGTCTCACAGATATCATTTATTCTTTCGCGATAAAGGTGCTAGCAGGAAAAAAAAGATCGCTCACTGTTCAATGACCATGAGTGCCCAGCATATGACAACATTTGTAGCTTTTCACCGGCAAGTGTGGTGGCGTCTCCATATGGGTGAAAAATTCTAGAAAGGGACGTTTAACAACATACACTAAATCAATCATTTACAATGTTTCATTATCGAAACTGGTTCCACCATTCCAATGTAATCCGAAAAAAATCTTTTCCGATTTTTCATTGTACTTTATTTATAATTCTCCTAAAATATCTTACGTCAATTTTGTACAAACCACGGAAGTATAACTACTTTCTGCAGAAAAAATATTTTTCAATCGTACTCTCTTTCAGAATTTTTTGTTTCTACACTGTCATTTTTACATTTAAATCTCGTATATTTCTGGAGTTTTTCGCCAGTAACTGATTTACGATATAATATTGTGTTAAAACCCGTGAATATTTGGATTTTTAATTGTTTGTTAATGCATTGTATTTAAGAAGCAGGTTTTCTACTTTTTTGTCGGAAAAGGGGAAGGTGCTTGATTTCCGAAATCTAAACTGGTTAAATGTTACATAGCGTAAAGCTACGGAATCTTTTTTCAGAAATTATCCTGTAGGAAAAATTAAACAAGAGTCCAACGAGCCTTGTATGTCACCTACATGTGAGTATCATAAAAATTCAATAACATTCGTGTTTTAACCAAGATGCCATGAGATTCACAATTTTGATGGAGTCAACAAGGCACATAACATGAAAACTCAGTTATTTTAGAAATAACAAATAACGTGATAAAGCCTGATAATTTAAATATAAATTATATGTAATTATACTTTTTAAACACTTTTCTTCTTCGACATTCGTGATAGGACCGACAAACAGTTCATTGTTTACAGAAAATTAGATTGATTGGAAACGATATAAAATCCACGTCGAATATTAATTATATTCTTAAAAGAAAATTATAACTATCTTATTTCATATAAATTCTCTTAAAGGAAGAAAGGGAACAAGAAAACTTGACCACGGTGGATTAATTTAGGAAAGTACATCGTATTGCTTGATTTCTAAAGAAACTTCTCTGGAATAGTTTACTTTTGCTTTTGCAAAAAAAAAACCTTGATTGTCATCACAATGCAAAATAAGATCATGCTTCCTAACTGACGAAAAGTTAAGAGCATACTATGAGTTTCATTTTTCAGCCAATAATCAAAGGTTTTTTGGCCTTTAAAACTAAACTTTAAATTCTTTTAAAATCATTTTTTTTAATGATTAATAATTTGCGAAAAAATACTTGCTTGATTAGAGTCATCATTAATTTTTTTCAGAGTTTTTTGAATTTCCGTCAAGGTGTGGGTGTTGCCCGTTTCTACAGAGTGAATCCTTGCCAGTATTCCTTTTTCTATTTTGAAAACTAAATCTTCTAAAAAGCTGTAAAATGTAAAAGAAAATCAAATCTTAACCAAGATATTCAATGCTGAGCTGAAATGCGAAATACTAACACATGTACCTGGAATAGTAGCTTAACACCCCCTTAAAAGTGTATGTTTATACATGTAATGTGTCAACAGAATTCCAATCAAATTCTCAACACGTCTAAAATATATAAGAAATGAATTTAATTCTTGAAGATTTTTGAGGTTATTGAACTACGACGCTTCACGCCGGCATATTTTATGAATATGCCGGCGTGAAGAGTTGCAGTTCATATACCTCATGAATCTTCAAAAATTAAATTCATTTCTTATATTTATATCATTTTTCTGATGACTTGCCATAGATTTATGCCATTTAACTGTCATTTTTAATGCAAAACAGTGTGCACTATATCTGTTGAAGTCAAGAGCGATATTATGATGTAACAATGAAGATATTAATGCTTATTCGGGGTATATACGTAATGTAGTTCATGAGAAAATGAACTGCATTTTTTTGTAAAAAATCATAAGGGAAATTTATTGGCAATGTAAATATTAAATTTTAACGTTCATCAATTAACAATATTTACGTCCATTCACACGTCAACTCAAAATTACGGTTACGTTAGACTTCAACAAATGTTTCAATTTTTAAGCTATATCACCACATAACCTTGTCTTGGGACTACATATTAAAATGCTCTAGTCAGTCCCAAAAAATCATGCATTAAACAAACTTGTCAAATGTATGATACCTTTTATTTATTTCAGATTTCATTTTCAAAGAAGTCTGTCTCATGCTTAATTTTGATTTTGTCAATACAGTGCATTGCTTAAAGTCTGAAAAATGAAGTATATTCCGCGATACACACAGGGGCTACTGCCCTATGTAACATATGATCATATGTTACCATGCCATTACAAATTGCCATAAAATAAGATTGGAACACATTGTTGTATATTTGCCGAGGGAGATAGCAGATGCGAACTCTGAAGATAAAAGTAATTCAAGATGCTGACTGCTAGGAATTAAACTTTTAACCTTAAACGGCTCCAAGAAATGAGTCATTGGAACGTGGTTGTTTACTTGACTTTTTTGTCGAAAGATGTATTTGGTTAGAGTTAAGAACCAATAGTATTGAAGTGATCAGAGGTCAGATGTTCGGATAAGTCAGCTACATGTACAACAAATAATATGTAAAGAATATGCGAAAGATTGGAAATTATTTAAATGTGCATTAAAAGTTTAGAAAGTACTCCAGGTCAGAATAAAAGTAATATAAAATTCAAATTAAAAATAACTATTGAAAATTTATGAGGGCTTTAAAGGGATGAACGGCATCGTGCATAAAACAGGCGGCGACAGACACAATTTCAGTGGAAAGCTTAATCGTGACTGTCTTGGTTGCAATTTGTACAAATGAGATGATTTTCTAGACTTTCGCGGTCAAATTATTAAATTTGCACATGGCTTCATTTATTTACAGGTTACAGTCTTTTATATTCGCAGCCTTTATATTATAACTAGTAATTTTTAGTATATTGTAAGAAATATTTATTGTATTCATTACTATTACAAATGAATTAATTAATTTAATAATGAGTGGAAAGTTGAATCGTGACTGTCTTGGTTTTATTCTGTACATGTTGGGTAAAATCTCCACTCCTAAACACCTGTGAGCCGCTCAGGTCAGGAAGGTCCTCAGATTTAGACAGAATTGGAAATTTAAATATTAAGGAATTCTATAATAAAATAAAGAGCTGAATTGAATCGTTCCGACCCAGCTCAAGGATTATATAAGAGCTTTTTCCACTTTGCGTGTCTTGTCAATGAAATAGTCAAGATCCTGGGTGTAAATTAAATGAACACACTCATGATCGGCCCAATGAAGGATATGGAGATAACGAACAGTATTCAATATCAATGTCCATAAAACAATACAAAATAGGACCAGAGCATACACAAACCTCTAAAACATCAGAGGTGGGAACAGGTGCAATGGAGGAGTGAGCAACCTCTGCTGACCAGTCACACCTGCAGTGTGCACCTTGTCAAAATCGGGAAATAACCGGAAAGTCCCTCGTCAATTCAGTGTATAAATAATGGACTAACAATTAGTATTAAAAACGTCAGTCAGCATTTGACTCAATGATAAATTCAATTACCTTACAAGGTTATTGTATCGACCAAAGAACTTACTAAATGATGCCTTTAAACAAGACTGCTGATATTCTTGTTTCATCAACTTGTTTGTCAATAACTTATCTCGTTTTAGAAACTGTTCATACGTAGAGCATGCTTTTGCGTATCGAATGTCTTTCGGGACTCTGCTTCCTCGAACTTTGGGTAATTAAATAATGATTAATGTTACATACCTTAAATGAGTTTGTACTCTCTTGTCTTTATATCTCTCAATAATTTGAGATAATTCGTCCGTGAATCTTTGAAATTCTCTTTTTTCTTGTGTGTCAGTTGCTGTATCTACCTGAAGTTTCAAATATATTTGGGGAAAAATTACTATAGGGAGACAAAATATCAGTGTAAAAACACAAATATTCCGAGGTTCTAAAAATCCAATTTTCTGAAAATTTTTAAGCGGCGATAGCCCCATACAAGTGGGAGTTGTAAGCCTATTAATCTCTATAGCGACCTCTTCTTCCAATCAAAGTGCACAATGCACAAAAACAAGGTGCTTGTCATTTTGTGTTGTAATTCTCTCATCATAAATACTGATTATTTTATTCATTGGTTTACGAACACCCCCTGAGAGATGAATCATCCTCTCCTTTTTCAGTCTTTGGGATTCATGTAAAATTCCAGTTTTAATTATTGACCTTCAAAACATCGAAGGTGGGAACAGGTGCCGTAGAGGAGTAAGCATCCCTTTCCAACTGGTCACGTCCGCCGTGTGATCCTTGTCATGATGGGGAAATAAGAGAAAATTATATCTTCAATTCAGTGTCTAAATAATGGACTAACAATTAGAATGAAAAGTGTCAATCAGCATAAAAGATAAATTGTATTTGCTGACAAGGTCATTGTATCGACCATAGAACTTTCGAAACTTTAAAGGAGACAGCTGAATCAGCTGTTTCATCAACTTGTTTGTGAATAATTTACCTCATTTTAGAAATTGTTCATACGTAGAGCATGATCTTGCGTATCAAATCAGCTGGGATATATAAACTCTGTATGCATGTGATAAGGGTTATTGCTTCATAAGTAAGGGGAGTTGACGAAAGAAAAGTTAATGTCATCACATTTATCATAGAGCTTGCTAATAAAAAGCAACGGAATTTTACACTCACAGATGCTTAATGATTTTAAAACTAGGTTTTGGTCAGTTTATGCTGTTTTTATAATTTGCGTTACCTGACCCAATCCAGGTTGTACTTGAATAATTTGGAAAAGAATTCAAGCCATTACTCAGAAAAAAGTACAGGTATTGCATATTTTAAAGAATTAAATGCAATAAAAACTCACTTTCTGTAAACTGAGTTTAAAAATCTGTTCTTTGTCACAATCCATCCAAACATTTTCAATCTTCTCCACAATCATATCCCACAGTTTCTCCTTGTCGCTAACATGTTCTTCACTATTGCTGTCATCACTCGAATCATCACTATGCCGTTCAGTGTCTTCTCCAGCCTCTGGGTCAATTAGATCCCATTTATTCGTTGCAAAGAGAACGTCACAGGGATTAAAACAAAGCATTTGTGGTGCTGCGTTTTTAATGGTTTTTAGAATTTCAATAAGCTTGAAAAAAAAAATGAAAAGACAGAGTTTGATACAGATAGAAAAAGAATTAGGATATAACATAGTAATAACTGCATTTCATTGAGACTGGAGGATTTAAAAGTAATATGTACTTCATTGAGTAATTAAACTGTGAAATTGTTTGACAATACTATAAGCAAATATTTTATAGAAAAAAAAAATAATTAAAAGAAAATAAAGAATCTTGTCAGAGAAATAAGAAACTAATTTACAGTATCAAACGTTATTTTTGCATTTTCATCATCAAAACCACTTAATTAAATATAATATTTTTTTAATATACATAGAAATTGACATGCAAAAAACGTTACCCTATCTTCCTGAACACCGCCAGAATTTGACACGTTTACCATAAATATAAAAGCTACAGCGTTTGGTAGAATTTCTTTGAGAATGTTCGTCAGAGCTTCTGATTCTCCAATCCCAGGAGGGTCTACCAATAACACATTCCCCTTCAAAAATAGATTTATGCCATGATCTATATTACTGCATATTTTTGTACTTTAACATTATATGGCAGAAAAAATATTTTCCTTATATCTGCTCCACGGGGCAGGTTTATTTTTCATATTATGATCTACTATATATCGTTAATCAAAGAAAAAATTTACCCATTTAATATTATTGTATTTGTTCCATTTACGATTGTGTCGTTGGGAAGTGTCGAAGTTTAATTGGATTTTCTTTACAAGAATATAAAAATGAACATTTTTTTCTTCTTAAGGACATACGCAACATAGTTAGAAGTATATTGTCTTTTTCCCCTCAAGTAAAAGAGTTATTGCCTGACGTCACGCTGTATAAAGATTGATATTTGCAAGATCCAGAACTAATATGTCATACCTAGAGAGCTAGATTTTGTGGAAGCTGATTTACATTGGAATTCTTTACCTGCATTTGAAAAGAAACAGTTTTCATAAGAAAGATTTATATTACTAATGGAAAATACTTAAGTATTTACGTCCTTTATTTATTTATTTTTTTTGCATGGAACAAGTATTCTATGTGATTCACCGTTTCAATATGTCCGTGTTCCTTTTTTTCTGCATTTCTATACTACTGGATCAGTCCATTTATATTCTACGAAAGGGGTGAATCGCTATTTTCGCTTTAAATGTCACTTAGTAAGCTCGTGACTTTTCCTTGGATTGATCTATTGTGTGAATGGGTGTACCTACTTCTATGGAATTAAATAAAGTTTGTCCTTTTAACCTCCTTCTAATACTTCAGAAATTCTATCCACACATTTTGTCTCATTCTTTTAATTGTTCAAGTAACATCATATATATCAGTATATACTAGCAACACAAAAGAATTTTTTTTCTAATTTGTTTCCCGATCCCGCGGTTGTTTACTACATAAATAGACTAGTCCAATAATAAACTACGCAGTTCAACAAGTCATTGTCTCCAGATGCATGAACATTTGTATCCCCGTTTCAGATACACACAATAGATAAGAAATCAGTACGAAGTCTTGGATTTTTCTTTCGACAAAGGCCTAAATATTAAATTTTATTAATTTCATTCTCATTATATGATAGTGGCACCCCCTCCTGTTTGAGAGAAAAACATTAATGAACACATAACTACAATATACTTCAGTGGAATAAATACACTCTTTTAAAACGTTTACAATGCATGATTTTATTACATATATTATTGATATGTTATAGGCCTTTCAACTGCCGCTAGGGTTCGCTGTTATGAACAACTCGTTGATGAAACTAGGATAGAACAGGTCCGAGGTATCTTACTGTTTATATGCAAGTCAGATTTTCGCATTTCCCAAGTGTTACTTTGCGGTCAAAAGAATTCGGTGGTTTTAAAATTTAGCACTTCTGTTAAACTTATTTTCTTGATAGTTGTGGACACCGTTTAATTAGATTTAGAACCCAACCCGCTTTTTCCTCCAATCAGCAGCTGCTAAATTTTCTATTAAGTTGATCACTTAATTGTTAAGATTTTATGTCTATGCAGTAACTCCGCGCGCTGACTTATTAGCCAATGAAATATGTTCTAACTAACCACTAAAATTTTACTTAATATGATCTAACTATTACATAAGTAAAATGTTTAATTAAAATATAAAGTGACATCTACTCTCCTTCTAAGTTCTAACCTGCTTAAATGTTTATACTCGGTCGTTTTTCTTCGTGCTAGGTAATGCAAATAAAAAGATAATTGTTGCATTTACTTGTAAAAATATATACATGTATATTTATATAGGACGCGCAAAAATGTACACAAAAAACATGTCATTATACATGTATTTCTTCCTCATTACAATAGTCAAAGAGAGTTAAAAATATTGAATATAGTCTGTTCCCCATTCATTTGACCCTGTTATTTGAGGTAGTGAAGACATTTTCCTTCTTTTGGTCAACCCTTTTGTGTACAAAACAATGTAAGGAACCCTTTTGTGTACAGAACAATACCAATGCTGAAGTAGCCTATGTGTCATTCCTATAAACGATAACTCATAAATCCCCCAAACAGAATAACAACTCTTTAGTATTCCATTTAGAGATGATTCTTCTGTAAATTAAACAAAATCAAGGATTTCATTTACTCAAGGTTTTCAAAATAAAATAAGAAAAGTAAGGACATATTTGAAATCCACAAAAGTATTGCTCAAAAAGTTTATCACTTCTTATGCAGATATTGATTGATTTAGTCAGGCAAGCTTTCTAAAAAGCTGCTACTTGTAATGCAAAAAGAAGCTGTGTGCTACATTTTAATGACCATTTATGTTACTGGACACTTCTTCTAAAACAAGTTTGGATAAACTACAAATCTAGAAATTTTGTTGAGTAATTTTGGAATAATATTATTTTTTTTTTTAGTTATAAAAAGAACATTGATCAAGTGAAATCATTTTACAACCCCTAATAATTGTATGCTTATTTTTTGTCTAAAATTATAAGACGGCACGTGTATATTAAATTAATATTAGTAATATCCTGAAAATTTCTCGTAGGTAAGGTGCGTTGCGTATGTCCTTAACTTTTAATATAGATTTAATTAAAGTTTGTTTTTTTTGCAAGGATAAACTGCAATAAATAAAAAATGCCAAATACGAATTGGGAAGGGAGATGTATAGTTCTTTTTCTAAAAAATTATATTGGTTCTGCATTTTTTTTCTAAACAATGAAGCAATTTTCGAATCGAAAGCCTTTTCTAAAAACAGAAATTAAATACCTTGAGAAATTCTATTGCTGTAAACACGGAATGAAAGAAGCTGATAGCCAATATTTGATTTTTATCATGAGTTGACGAAGAATGAATAAATCAGAATGTATTTCTTTTTTATGTACTTATATACTGTGATAATTTTGCTCACATTAATTACCTATTGTAATTTCAAACAAATATTACAGAGTTGATGGACTTTAATGCATTCAAGTTCCTTTCATTAAACCAAAACGGCATACCATTACAATTGCATTATAATTTGTATTTAATTCAAAATCCAGACAGTCATTTTAAAATACATCATGTATTTGATTGTTGAAGCATTGGAGTTGCTTGTTTTCAAAAATATGTTTTACTTATCATATTTATAACGAACAAACCTTCATAAACACACTTTGAAACGGACAGTGAATGTCGACATAATGCACACTACCCTCTGTTTCATTTAAACTGACGACTGTGTTTAGTTTTTTTCTCATTTCTTTCCAGCTTTCAAAAGTTATTTCTTCTAAAAGGTTACCCGAAGAATCCAGTAATTGAACAAACATTGTAGGATCATTACGTATTCTGCATATTTTCCGTGTGGATGCAAAAGGTCTTGGTGTCACAAGTTGTTTTCCTATCAGTTTATTTAGCATTGTGGTTTTACCAGAGCCGGTTTCTCCTTCAAAATATAAGAAAGAACAAAAAATCACTCCAAAATATTTACAAACAGAGAAAACTGATGAACTCTAAACATCGCTATTAAGATTACCTGTACATGTATATGCATTGTAACTTATTTTATCTTTGTGTATAACTAAGCAACAAAACAGTGTAGGACACCTTAACAAAATTAACAATAAACTAGAGGTACTGTGAGCAACGAGCTCACTAAATGATACCCCGCCTCCCATATAATTATAATGACAAAGTTCTTGATTTGCTTTTGGAGAACAGAAAAAGTGTCAGATCGAAAAGTAAAATAGGAGGTACACAATGACATAATGTAATAAAGAATCTATGAAAGTGTCATAAAAATTTATTCAGTAGTGTAGGAGGATGTGCAGATAAGATATGTGAACCCTTTAATATCATAGAAAAAATGGCAGTGTCAATTTCTTGCTATGAAAAACCCAAAATATGTGTCTGATCAAACAAAAAAATAATAGGTGCACAATGTCACTATCCGACAAAGACTGTGTGAAAGTCTCAATAAATTTCATTTAGCGGTAAAAGAGGAGATGCAGATAAGAGATAGCCACCCCAAAGCATAACAGACGGACGGACGGACATCCCGATTTCAATATACCCTCCAGCTTTTCAAGTTAGGAGTATAAGAAGGATAAAGTACGAGAAAACCCTTCATGTGGTGTATTTAAATTGATACATAGTCTATTGACAGGGGATTAGGTACACCACTTTATTGTAATAGAAACAGTCAAGTTTTTAGAAGAAAGATTCTGCAATACAAAACAGACAGCTACATATATAAAATTAATAGACTCAATTGCAGAATTCAAAGACTCCTTTTCACAACGACCTATCACCGAATGCAAAACAAACGGTAATGTACAGAATTAACAGAGAATGTCCCTGTCGTTTTAAAAAGAAAAAGAAAGACCAATAGGTGGTAAGGTAGCGAATGTAGAAAGCTTAAATTCAACACATCAATTGACAGTAATGATAGTAACATGTAACATATTGATGTTACATCTTGAGTATAGAAGAAAAGTTAAGTTCTGATGTTAACTTTAAAAAGTATTTGAATGGAAATCAGATCGAAGATATGCCTAGAAACACGTCTTAATTTTGTTTTTTTTTAATTGAAAGGTACTGTAGGTCAGTTGGAAGAGCGCTCGCTTCGTGGTAGAAATGTCGTGGGCTCAAACATCTGCCATGAATGACTTCAAGAGAAAAATTAAAACAACCAAATGTTCTATCACTAAACACTTGACGTTTGTCGTGAAAGTTGCTGTACTTTCGGTAAGACCTTGAAAACGGAAGCCCCTATTCACAGAAGCACAACAGAAAATGTGTAGTTGATCGTTAGCTAGTCGTTAACTTCCAGTCAACTAATTACTTGAAAACAGCTGACCACTACGAACTGAAAGCTTGTGTTCAAATCTGTCATCTTGTTTGCATAGAATCGTCTGATGACAGTCAATTGACTGCTTTTCAACGAGTCGAATACTAATACTTTAAAAAGTTGATGCAAGAAAAGAGTTTATCATAGTTGAACACTCTAACTTTCCGACATCTTGCAGATTTGACTACTGTTGATCAATCGGTGTTAGAAAACATATCCGACAATATTTATGTTGGATTTGGAATGACAATACTATAGATTTGTACCTCAATAAAACACAAAACAATATAAGATTTGAACCAAATTACGTATTTCAGTGTGTTTTGTTAAAAAGTGGATTATTTTAATTTTGAATAATTAATTCAATGAATGATGTCGCTTGTGCAATCTACGAGGGGTGATCAAAAAGTTCGCGAACTAATTGAATAACTTCCATCAAAGAAACAATATTTATAAAGAAAGTTCGGGTATATTGTTCTTACTCATGTCCGTCCGTCCGTCTGTCACACTTTTCTTCCATGAACTCCTCCTACATTTTACACAGTAGCTTAATCATCTTTTGGGAGATGGTTGGTGGTGTCATGTAGATGTGCAGTAATGTTTCGGAATTTTGATTTTGCCCCGGGGGGTCAAAT